TGTCCTCAGAACTGTCCCACTTAAAGGGCGGCACCCCCCTACCCCTTGTCTCCCATCCTCAGAACTATCTTACTTAAAGGTTGGCACCCCCCTACCCTTTTTCTCCTGTCTGCCTGTCCTCAGAACTCAACATGTTACGTGTAATCGGGGTACATCTCACCCTGTACTGCGACGCAGCGCACCACATAGCAATACAGTTCCAAACATACGATAAATACATTCAGGCCAATAAATACATTCGCTCAGCGGTATGATGCCTGACGTGATGTGCACGGAGGATGAATCCCCCGGACCACCACGTCATGCATGACGCCGCTTACCCCAAAAACTGTAGCATCCTAATACGATATACATTTCCTAGTTACTATGTCATGCACGAAAACGATAACTGAAAAAAAAAACACTATCAACAATAGGCATCGGGTGTGTGGGGGGGGGGGGGGGGGGGGGGGGGGGGGGAAGGGGAGGGGAAGGGGGAAACACAGGCCCGAAGCTTTATTGAAGGGACAAAGACACGCAAGGGGGAGTAGGGGGAAGGGGGAAATCTTCAGACGTCCTCTTCCTCCTTAAAGTCCAACAAGGAATAGTCTCTGAGCAGACTGAGGATCAGTCTGCGGCAGTCCTCAATGGACATCCTCTCCCGCTGGAGTGTGAGGCGCTTTCTGGCGCACCATAAAGCGTCCTTGAAACAGCACAGCACCCGCCAGGCGCCGTCAATGTCCTCCAAAGAAAAAGTTCCACAGAACAGTCCATTCAAAACCCCAAAGTGAGTGATGGCTGTCTGTGGCACAAAGTCCTTGAGTTCAGGTTCCAGGGCCCCCAACAGGGCCTGAGCAAATGAGCACTCCCAGAAAACGTGGTAAGACGTTTCCTCATGGATGATGCAGAAGGGGCAGTGTCTGTATCTGCTCAGGTTCCTGGCATGCATAAATGTCCTGAGAGGCAGTCCCCCCTGGATAGCCATCCATGCCAGGTCTTTGTGCCTGTTGGTGAGGATGTTAGAAGAAAACATTCCTCCAGACCACCTTGCAGGTGTCTGAAGGCAGGCCTGGAACCGACTCCAAAATGTCGCTGGCTCGGATGAGCTTGTAGATGGTCTTTGGCTTCCACAAGTCCGGCTTGACTCCCTGCAGCCCTTGCTCCCTGATGAACTTGAAGGTATCCAAGTAGAACCAAGGAGTGTCCCAGTTGTAGGGGATGGAACTATCCCAGGTGTCCCACCCCAGGGACCTCCAGAGAGGCAACAGGAAGAAGCGAGACATTGCGTTCCCGCCAGAGTCCATAGTCCGTCTTGGCAAAGTTCTGCGGACGCAGTTGCAAGCAAAGAACACCCTCAGCTGGCTGGGTGGCGATGTCGGGCACGCCCTTACCGCCCTTGAGGGGTTCCTTGAACATGACTGCCCGCTTCACTCTGTCCATCTTGGAGCCCCAGATGAAGTGAAACACCGCCCTGGTGATGGCCTTGCAGGTGTTGACCCGGGGGGGCCAGGCCTGGGCGAGGTACTGCAACACAGGGAGAATCTCGCTGCGGAGTACCAGTGTCTTCCCTTCGATGGTGAGGTCTCTGAGGCTCCAGAGTCCAAACTTTTGGCGCATCTTGGCCAGTCTCTCCTCCCAAGACTTCAGGGCTGCGCCCTCGGCACCAAACCAAACTCCCAAAATCTTCATGAAGTCTGTCTTGATGCCAAAGGGCATGGATGCAGAAGAAGGCAGGAACCACTTTCCGAAGAGCATGACTTCCGACTTCCCGCAGTTGACCTTTGCCCCCGAAGCTTGGCCGAAGTCCTCGCAGGTCTGGACGAGCAGGTCGATGGAGCGCTGGTTGGCACAGAACACCGTCACGTCGTCCATGTAGAGCGAGCACTTCACTTCCCGTCTGTCTGGTCCCGGTGCGGTGATTCCCCCGATCTCTGGATTCCGTCTGATGCATTCGGCGAAGAGCTCTATACAGCAAACAAAAAGCAGAGGTGAGAGAGGACAGCCTTGTCTGACCCCGGAGAGAACCGGGAAGGGGTCAGTCTTCCAGCCGTTCACCTGCACGGAACTACAGATGTCATTATACATGATGTCAACATATGAACAAAACATTTCCCCGAGACCAAACCTGCGCAGGGCTCTGCACATAAACCCATGGGAGACACGGTCAAAGGCCTTCTCCTGATCAAGACTGACCAGGGCCGCGTGCACACGGCGGTCCTTGATGTATTGGACCGTGTCCCGGACAAGCGCTAGGCTGTCCGCAATCCTGCGGCCAGGAATGCCACAAGTCTGATCCGGGTTGATGATCTGTCCGATGACAGCCTTCAGTCTGTTCGCCATGACCTTGGCGAGGATCTTGTAGTCCACGTTCAGAAGAGAGATGGGACGCCAATTTTTCAAGTCACATCTCTCCCCCTTACGCTTGTACAGGATCGTGATCATCCCCTCCCTCAACGAAGGAGGCATCTTGCCCTCCACCACCATCTCCTCGTACAGCTCGAGCAGGTCCGGGCCCCCACGAGATCCCACAGCGCTACATAAAGCTCCGCTGGGAGACCGTCGCAGCCCGGGGTCCTGCCTTGCCTAAAGGATTTAGCGGCAGAGTGCAGTTCCTCCAACGTCAAGGGGGCGTTGGTGGCCGACAAACCTGCAGGATCAATAGTGTTAGAGATACCTGACAAGAACCTGTCGGCCGCTTCCGAGTTTGTTTCTTTAGGGAGTAGAGGTCGGAGTAGTAGTCGCTGACCACTTCCATCACGGCCTCCTTCCCCTTCTGGAGTGTTCCAGTCTTGTCACGCAGCTCCGACAGGGGTGTGTGTCCTGAGTGGAGTTTCCTGAAAAAGAAAGAGTTACACTTCTCACCTTTCTCGAGATGCTCCACCTTGGCACGGAAGACAATGTGCCTGGATTCTTCCTCAAAGTGCTTTTTCAAGCACTTCTTGGTGTCCTCCAGGTCTTGCCTCACGTCCCAGCCACAGTGGTGAAGGTCCTGCAGGGACTGCAGCTGACGCTGCAGCCTCCTGAGTTCCTTCCTCCTGGCACACACTTGCTGGCGTCCCCTGGCCTGAAAGAAGCTGCGCAGCTTGACTTTCACGAACTCCCACCAGTCGCTGACCTTAGGAAAGAAAGACTTCTCCTCTCGCCAGGCACCGTAGATTTCCCTGAGCTCCGCTAGCAGTTCCTCATCGCCCAGCAGGGTGCAATTCAGCTTCCAGGAGCCTGGGCCCGGGGCAAAGCCCTCTCCCAGATCACCTTGAAAGTGAATGGCCCTGTGGTCAGAGAAAAAGCAGGGAACCATGGAGAACCCGCGGTGCCTGACTGCCCTGGAGGTGAGCACAAAGTCAATCCTGGAGCGCACGGATCCATCGGGGCGGCTCCATGAGTAGTTCACGGAACCGCGCCCCACGGATCCCACTGCGTCTCGCAGGGAAGCCTCTGCAATCATCTCCCGGAGCAGCTTCGAGGTGACGTCGAGTTTTGCGTATATGCTGGAGCTGCGCCCATCCTCCTCTATCGGACAGTTAAAGTCACCGCCGATTACTACTGTTCTCGTTGTGGCGAGTTGCGTCCGCAGGGTTTGGAAAAGTTCCAGCCGCGCGTTCTTCTCCGGGGGGGCGTACACGTTGATGAGCCTAACGGGCTCCCCCGCCCACGAACCATCTATGACCAGAAGGCGGCCACAGACGAGCTCATGGACGGAGTCAACAGTGAAACGTCCTCCCCGGATAAGAACCGCAACCCCTGCAGACTTGCAATCGCCACCCCCAGACCAGTAGGAGGGACCATGGGTCCACTGGGAGGACAAATGAGTGTACCTCCTCAGAGGGGGAAGTGCGCACTCCTGAAGCATGTACACATCACTCTGCTGTGTGGAAAGAAAGGTCAGCACAGTCTGCCTCCTAGACACGTCCTTTATGCTCCTCACATTAATGGAAAAGATAGATATCTCAGCCATCATGGGAAAGAGATGAAGGGGTTAGTCGGCAGGGGCTGTGCTTACCTCCCCTGGGGAGGGGGGGCGACCTCTGTGACCTCTGCAGCCTGACAAGTGTCCTGGCCCAGACCAATCTGATTGAGGACCTCGTTGAGGACCTCATTGAAGTCGGTGGAGAGATCTGGCTCCGACTGGGTCAGGGCCATCTCTTCTTCCACCTCTTCTTCCTCCAGCGTGTCGAGGTCCTCCCCCACGGGGTCGGGGCCTGCGGCATTCTGGAGGACGGCAGGCCGCTTGGTGGCAGAGGAGGTGTCCTCCGCCGCTGGGCTGGCCTGCTCCTTCTTCCGCTTCCTGTACCCCGCCGCAGAGTTGCTGACAGGGGTAACAGGGGGAAGGGGTGGGACCGGGGCGGGGGCAGGGGGGCAGGGGGGGGTAGGGGCAGGGGGACCAGGGGCCGAGGGGCCGGGGGCCGGGGCAGAGGGACCAGGGGCAGGGGGACCAGGGGCGGGGGGGACCAGGGGCAGGGGGACCAGGGGCAGGGGGGCCAGGGGGACCAGGGGCAGGGGGACCAGGGGCAGGGGGGCCAGGGGGACCAGGGGCAGGGGGACCAGGGGCAGGGGGGCCAGGGGGACCAGGGGCAGGGGGGCCAGGGGGACCAGGGGCAGGGGGACCAGAACTGTCCGACTTAAAGGTTGGCAACCCCCCCCCCTTTGTCTCCTGTCTGTCCTCAGAACTGTCCCACTTAAAGGTCAGCACCTCCCCACCCCTTGTCTCCCGTCTGTCTGTCCTCAGAACTGTCCAACTTAAAGGTCGGCACCCTCCACCCCTTGTGTCCTGTCTGTCTGTCCTCAGAACTGTCCAACTTAAAGGTCGGCACCCTCCACCCCTTGTGTCCTGTCTGTCCTCAGACCTGTCCTACTTAAAGGTCGGCACCCTCCACCCCTTGTGTCCTGTCTGTCCTCAGACCTGTCCTACTTAAAGGTCGGCACCCCCCTATCCCGATCAGAGACAAAGCTGAGACTTCCCACCCGATAGCAAATAAAGCCACATTCCATCCATCCATCTCCCCATTGTGGGAGGGGCAGAGACACAAACTACTGGGGGGAGTCTCCCCATTGTGGGAGGGGCAGAGACACAAACTACTGGGGGGGAATCTCCCTATTGTGGGAGGGGCAGAGACACCAACTACTGGGTGGAATCTCCCTGTTGTGGGAGGGGCAGAGACACCAACTACTGGGGGGAATCTCCCCGTTGTGGGAGGGGCAGAGACACCAACTACTGGGGGAAATCTCCCCGTTGTGGGAGGGGCAGAGACACAAACTACTGGGGGGAAATCTCCCCATTGTGGGAGGAGCAGAGACACCAACTACTGCAGGGAAATCTCCCCATTGTGGGAGGAGCAGAGACACCAACTACTGCAGGGAAATCTTCCATTGTGGGAGGAGCAGAGACACCACCTACTGCAGGGAAATCTCCCCATTGTGGGAGGGGCAGAGACACCAACTACTGCAGGGAAATCTCCCCATTGTGGGAGGAGCAGAGACACCAACTACTGCAGGGAAATCTTCCATTGTGGGAGGGGCAGAGACACCAACTACTGCAGGGAAATCTCCCCATTGTGGGAGGAGCAGAGACACCACCTACTGCAGGGAAATCTCCCAATTGTGGGAGGGGCAGAGACACCAACTACTCATCATTGTGATGGGGGCGGGGGTGGGGAGGGTTGGAGACGGGAAGGTGAATCATTTCATCCATCTCCCTGTATAACTCAAATATCAATTCGGGGTGGAGGGACCCTTTAAGTGAAGGTGGCGGCAGACAGTGACATAGCGACTCCTCGGGGAGATCTCGGTGGACATGGCGCTGGATGTAGATTGCGGTTTCCCATTCGTAGTTTTGTCGCCATGACAGCTTAGATTTATTATAATTCGATTCCCCGTCTGCAGGGCGCTTCTTCCATTGTAATGTCCTGGAGGTGTCATGTACGGATCACTGGAGAAGGCGGGGCATTACCCTGGAAATGGCAGTTTGGTGGGGATTAGCGGCCGTTAGTTCCGGTCACTTCCTGATGTATTTATGTGCGGTCGCTGAGCTTCGGATGAATGACATTTATCACATCGGAGGAGGGACAGGACAGAATATCAGAGAATAGCAATTAAAGGGGCACTCCGCACGCAGCCCGGAACTCCGCAACATAAACTGACAAATTGTCGGAATTTCTTCCACATCCCGGAGGAAGGATAAGAATGATATCTGTATATTCATCTCCCTGTGACATCAGACCCTCCTCAGCTCCTTCCCCGCCCCTATTCTCCAGGAGGAGCCCAGCCCCTTCTCCCCAGGAGGAGATCCACCCCTTCTCCCCAGGAGGAGCCCCACCCTTTCTCCCCAGGAGGAGCCCCACCCCTTCTCCACAGGGGCCCCGCCCCTATTTCCCAGAAGGAGATCCACCCCTTCTGCCCAGGAGGAGCTCCATCCCTTCTCCCCAGGAGGAGCCTCGCCCCTATTTCCCAGGAGGATCTCCGCCCTTTCTCCCCAGGAGGAGCTCCACCCCTATTTCCCAGGAGGATCTCCGCCCTTTCTCCCCAGGAGGAGCTCCACCCCTATTTTGCAGGAGGAACTCCGCCCCTTCTGCCCAGGAGGAGCCCCACCCCTTCTACCCAGGAGGAGCCCCACCCCTATTTCCCAGGAGGAGATCCACCCCTTCTCCCCAGGAGATCCGCCCCTTCTCCCCAGGAGCAGCCCCACTCCTTCTCCCCAGTAGGAGCCCCACCCCTATTTCCCAGGAGGAGATCCACCCCTTCTCCCCAGGAGATCCGCCCCTTCTCCCCAGGAGGAGCTCCACCTCTATTTCCCAGGAGGAACTCCGCCCCTTCTGCCCAGGAGGAGCTCCGCCCTTCTCCCCAGGAGGAGCTCCACCCCTATTTCCCAGGAGGAACTCCGCTCCTTCTGCCCAGGAGAAGCTCCGCCCCTTCTCCCCAGGAGGAGCTCTACCCCTTCTCCCCAGGAGGAGTTCTGCCCCTATTTCCCCGGAGGAATTCCGCCCCTTCTCCCCAGGAGGAGCTACGCCCCATCTCCCCAGGAGGAGCTCCGCCCCTTCTCCCCAGGAGGCGCTCTGCCCCATTTCCCTAGGAGGAGCTCTGCCCCTTCTCCCCAGGAGGAGCTCCGCCCCATCTCCCCAGAAGGAGCCCCGCCCCATCTCCCCAGGAGGAGCTCCGCCCCATCTCCCCAGGAGGAGCTCCGCCCCTTCTCCCCAGGAGGCGCTCTGCCCCTTCTCCCCAGGAGGAGCTCCACCCCATCTCCCCAGGAGCTCCGCCCCTTCTCCCCAGGAGGAGCTCCGCCCCAGATGGGATTCTCAGCCAGTCACGTGTTGTGTTTCTGGGGTGAGTTTTTCTTCCTTCGTCACATTTCACTGACTCCCTGTGATTTCTCCCTCTGGTGGTCACCTTTATTTCAGGAATGTGATTAGCATCCCTGCTGAAGGACTGTAGAGATCGCAGGTCTATAGTCAAATGATGTCCTCCTGGAACATGCCTCGGGCACGCCCCATTGTCCGGCTGCAGCACAATGTGTCACCTGACTGATCGGTTTACCGGCCAGTACCATGTGATCACTGTGACCAATCACAGCAGATCACATGACAGTTGTACACAATGGATTCATGCCATTCATTGTGTACTATTGTGCTGATCTCTGTGATTGGTCACAGCAACCACATGGTACAGACAGGGCCAATCACAGCCCATCTGTACCATGTGATTAGCTGTGGAAAATCATAATTTGCTACAATAGCAAACACCAAATATATCAATTTCTTTCAGTAAAAATGGAAATTCACTGATATAAGCAATCATGATGTATACAAATAAAACATAATATGATCACATCCCCAGAGTAGTACAATGTGATCGCTTCCCCAGAGCAGTACAGTGTGATCGCTTCCCCAGAGCAGTACAGTGTGATCGCTTCCCCAGAGTAGTACAGTGTGATCGCTTCCCCAGAGCAGTACAGTGTGATCGCTTCCCCAGAGCAGTACAGTGTGATCGCTTCCCCAGAGTAGTACAGCGTGATCGCTTCCCCAGAGCAGTACAGTGTGATCGCTTCCCCAGAGCAGTACAGTGTGATCGCTTCCCCAGAGCAGTACAGTGTGATCGCTTCCCCAGAGCAGTACAGTGTGATCGCTTCCCCAGAGCAGTACAGTGTGATCGCTTCCCCAGAGTAGTACAGTGTGATCGCTTCCCCAGAGTAGTACAATGTGATCGCTTCCCCAGAGCAGTACAGTGTGATCGCTTCCCCAGAGCAGTACAGTGTGATCGTTTCCCCAGAGCAGTACAGTGTGATCGCTTCCCCAGAGCAGTACAGTGTGATCGCTTCCCCAGAGCAGTACAGTGTGATCGTTTCCCCAGAGTAGTACAGTGTGATCGCTTCCCCAGAGTAGTACAGTGTGATCGCTTCCCCAGAGCAGTACAATCTGTTCGTTTCCCCAGAGCAGTACAGTGTGATCGCTTCCCCAGAGCAGTACAATGTGATCGTTTCCCCAGAGTAGTACAGTGTGATCGCTTCCCCAGAGTAGTACAGTGTGATCGCTTCCCCAGAGCAGTACAGTGTGATCGCTTCCCCAGAGGAGTACAGTGTGATCGTTTCCCCAGAGTAGTACAATGTGATCGCTTCCCCAGAGCAGTAGAGTGTGATCGCTTCCCCAGAGCAGTAGAGTGTGATCGCTTCCCCAGAGCAGTACAGTGTGATCGCTTCCCCAGAGCAGTACAGTGTGATCGCTTCCCCAGAGTAGTACAGTGTGATCGCTTCCCCAGAGCAGTACAGTGTGATCGCTTCCCCAGAGCAGTACAGTGTGATCGCTTCCCCAGAGTAGTACAGTGTGATCGCTTCCCCAGAGCAGTACAGTGTGATCGCTTCCCCAGAGTAGTACAGTGTGATCGCTTCCCCAGAGCAGTACAGTGTGATCGCTTCCCCAGAGCAGTACAATCTGATCGTTTCCCCAGAGCAGTACAGTGTGATCGCTTCCCCAGAGCAATACAATGTGATCGCTTCCCCAGAGTAGTACAATGTGATCGCTTCCCCAGAGTAGTACAATGTGATCGCTTCCCCAGAGTAGTACAATGTGATCGCTTCCCCAGAGGAGTACAATGTGATCGCTTCCCCAGAGGAGTACAATGTGATCGCTTCCCCAGAGCAGTACAACTAATAGTAACTAGTAAAACTCGCCACGCCTTTTATTAAATACTTCAGACTACTTTCCAAAAAGGGGTAATTTGGGAGGGATTTGTACCGTCCTGACATTTGGGGGGATTTGTACCGTTCTGACATTTGGGGGGATTTGTACTCTCCTGACATTTGGGAGGGATTCATACCGTCCTGTCATTTGGGGGGATTCGTACCGTCCTGACATTTGGGGGGATTCGTACCGTCCTGACATTTGGGGGGATTTGTACCGTCCTGACATTTGGGGGGGATTTGTACCGTCCTGACATTTGGGGGGGATTTGTACCGTCCTGACTTTTGGGGGGATTTGTACCGTCCTGACATTTGGGGGGGATTTGTACCATCCTGACATTTGGGGGGATTTGTACCGTCCTGACATTTGGGGGGGATTTGTACCATCCTGACATTTGGGGGGGATTTGTATTGTCCTGACATTTGGGGGGGATTTGTACCGTCCTGACATTTCGGGGGATATCTGTACCGTCCTGACATTTGGGGGGATTTGTATTGTCCTGACATTTGGGGGGGATTTGTATTGTCCTGACATTTGGGGGGGATTTGTACCGTCCTGACATTTCGGGGGATATCTGTACCGTCCTGACATTTGGGGGGATTTGTATTGTCCTGACATTTGGGGGGGATTTGTATTGTCCTGACATTTGGGGGGGATTCGTACCGTCCTGACATTTGGGGGGATTTGTATTGTCCTGACATTTGGGGGGATTTGTATTGTCCTGACATTTGGGGGGATTTGTACCGTCCTGACATTTGGGGGGGATTTGTACCGTCCTGACTTTTGGGGGGATTTGTACCGTCCTGACATTTGGGGGGGATTTGTACCGTCCTGACTTTTGGGGGGATTTGTACCGTCCTGACTTTTGGGGGGATTTGTACCGTCCTGACATTTGGGGGGATTTGTACCGTCCTGACATTTGGGGGATATCTGTACCGTCCTGACATTTGGGGGGATTTGTACCGTCCTGACATTTGGGGGGATTTGTATTGTCCTGACATTTGGGGGGGATTTGTATTGTCCTGACATTTCGGGGGATATCTGTACCGTCCTGACATTTGGGGGGATATGTACCGTCCTGACATTTGGGGGATATCTGTACCGTCCTGACATTTGGGGGGATTTGTACCATCCTGACATTTGGGGGGGATTCGTACCGTCCTGACATTTGGGGGGGTTGTACCGTCCTGACATTTGGGGGGATTTGTATCGTCCTGACATTTGGGGGGATTTGTACTGTCCTGACATTTGGGGGGGATTTGTACCGTCCTGACATTTGGGGGATATCTGTACCGTCCTGACATTTGGGGGGATTTGTACCATCCTGAC